ACTGTTACATGCCCAGTTGGGCGATGTACATATATAACCAAGGATCCGCAATGTGATGAAAAGGACTGAATGGACAATGCAGTGCAAGTAGAATCTCAACAAGCAATGTACATTCTGATACATACAAAAACGGTGCTTTATAGCGCACTGGAAGACTTAGATACAAGTCCTGACCTGACCGGGACTGACCTCCCTCACGTAGTACAAGACAGCGCAGCAGAATGCTAGAATACCAATGACGAGCGCAATCAATGTTGCAATGCAGACTAAACATACATTATCTTCATCACAAGGTGTGAAGGAGGCCTGGCGCTACACACAGGAAGAATGCGCCAGGTCTTGATCATGCACAGGCGAAGAGGAGGGGAACAGACGAAGAAGAAGAGGGGGGAGATGGGAAAGTCGTCAACACCAAGTCTTCGTTACAAGTCCCAAATAATCCCTCGTCCAAATGTCTGAAGCCCATTATCAACTCTGGATCCAAATGTCACCAAGCTCTCTCTCATAGTCTGCTGATGCAGTGAAGTCAGATAGCGAGAGGGTGAGAGGGAGATGGTGGACTGAGAAGAGGAAGAAGAAGAACTCTCTCTCTCTCTCATGTGCCAGGTACTAACCTGTGAAGTTGGCACTGTGCTGCAGGTACCTCGAAGACGAAGCTGGAGCTATGGCGCTGCACGTAAGTCTCCCTGGCCTCTGCCCAATCTCTCTCTCTCTCTGGTATTACTCTAGCTCCTACTAGCGCCCAGTGCTGAAGACTACTGCTAACGCTACTAGCACCCAGCGTTGAAGACTACTGCTAGCGCTGCTACTACTCCTGCAGCACTCCTCCAGATTGCTGCTGCCGAATCCTGAAGACTACCTCCTGCCTCTGAACTGCACGTGAAGTGCCTGGGAAGTACCTAGGAACTACCTGCAGCCTGCAGGGCGGGCCAGTGCTATATAGTGCTGGCCSGTCCAGGAGGCTGCTCTTGCCRATGCCSAAATGTGCCAGACCCTGGCGTTGAAGCTTAACCAGGGGTTGTCTTGAAAACAGGCCCAAAATGGCCTGTGTTATGATCCTGGTCAATTTCGAGATACACATCCATCAGATAGTACAATGCCGTCCAATTGCAGAAAGAAATGAATGAACTTGAGAGGAGAGAGAGGATTAGAAGAAGAAGAAGAAGTAAGAAAGAAGAAGAAGATGATGTACACCAGCACAGACAAATGACAAGGCTCTTCTTCTTCACCCAACAATCTCCTCCTCCTTATCTCCCCCTTATCTTATTCATACAAGAAATAATAATACAATGTTGAATGGCTGATCCAGAATCAATGTCCGAGTTCCTCTTCTACTGCAGGGATCCTTGAGGTCTACCATAGCCATGGCCTCCTCTCCCACTCTTCACTCTCATAGGCCAGGGCTGTGGCGGACTACTAGGCCTTGCCCAGATGCCCAAAGGACAATCCAAAGCAGCTATGGCTGCTCTAGCTCAGGCCGCCATGCCTGGCCCTGCCTCGAAGCTTCTTGGTGTAGCTCTCCCCAGTTGGGGACTCCCTGCTGCAGCACCCACCACTCCCTGCTGCAGCGCCCACCAACGTGATGAAGATGGCTGCCACCATAGCCAGGTAAGTACCCCTGGCGCTCCTCCCCCTTCCTGTCCTTCTTCCTCCTCCGTGTCCTTCTCCTTCCCCCAGCAGCGCTGCTCCAACCGGTGCTCCAACCAGTGTGTTGCCAAACTTGCACACCGAAAAAGAGGCCGGGCTCTTCGCCCGGCTGGGAGATATAGCGGCCTGCTTGCCTCTTCGGGCGGTGACTTCCTGGCCGCTCAGCCTTCCAAGCAACCAGTACCTCCTCCCTTTCGGAGGGAAACATCATTGCAGACTCGGATATTGTCCGTACAGGCCCTAGACCCAGACTGGTTGGACTGGTATCCACCTAGACCTAACCTACAACTACTGGGCCTCTAAAAATGCCACTTTTGTTACGATCCTGGTCATTTCCCAAGTGCAAATTCACAATGAAAGACAATGCCACCCAATTGCGAAAGAAATGAAAGCACTTGCAAAGAGATAAAGACCGGAGGAGAGAGATGGAAGAAGAAGAAGAAGAAGAAGAAGAAGAAGAAGAAGAAGAAGAAGAAGTACACCAGCAAGACCAATGACAATTCCCCCCTTCTCTCTCCACCTTCCTCCTCCTCCTCCAATCCGCCAATCTTATTCTCTCTCAATAATAATAAAAAAAATGAATGGATGAACCAGAATCAATATCTGAAGTTCCCTCTTACTGCTGACTCAACTCACAACAACAACAACAACAACAACAACAACAACAACAACAAGCCCACCATAGCTATGGCTTCCCTCCTTCAGCCTTCCCTCTCATGCATAGGCCATGGCGGACTGATGAGGGCCTTGCCCTCCTGTCCAAAAGACAAGACAAAGCAGCTATGATGCTGCGCTGATGCCCACAGGACAACCCAAAAGCAGCTATGCCGCTGCTGACTGGTCCACCATGCCTGACCCTGCCTCAAGCTTCCTTGTGCAGCGCTACCCCAACTGGGGCCTTCCAGATGCAGCGCCCAACCAGGTGATGAAGACAGTGTCCACCATAGCCAGGTAAGTGCCCCGCCACTCCCCTACCATGCCCCCTTCTTCCTCCTCCTCAAACTGGGTTGCTCGCCATAGCCAGGCTGAGCTCCCAGCGGCCCTTCTTCCTCTGAGCAGCGCTGTACCTCCAGCGCTGCGCTCCAGCAGCATGTCGCCAATCCTTGCACACCGCAAATGAGCTCTTTGCTCTTCCTGAAGATATAGCGGCCTACCGGCCTCCTGGGCGGTGACTTCCTAGGCCGAGCGGCCTCCCAGCAACTGGTACCTCCTCCCTTTCGGAGGGAAACATCA